CACTTGCTGTTGCTGTTGTTGCTGCTGTTGCTGCTGCTGCTGCTGCGAGTGTGTGTCCGTCAAGCCACTGCCGCTACGCCTTCGGGACCTGGAGGCAATTGAAGGAAAAATTGTCACTTCTTTTCTTTCTTCTTTGCCGCCCCTTGGTTGACACGAATTCGTCATATATATATATATATATATATTATGTGTGTTTTTAAATTTATTTGTTTTCTTTTTCTTCGATTTCGAATTCGTTTCGACCAACACAGTGGAAATAGGTGTGTTTCATCGAGGTGAAAAGAAAGAAGATTAAAAATACGTTTTTGGTACATAGGTGTGTATATATATGTACATAGGGATTATATCAGGAATAACCGTATATTTAGCAAAAACTTGATGCTACGCAAGCGAATTACTGGGAAAAACTATACTATGGGTTACCATGTTTGGCTACGTGAAAGATATTATAAATTATTAGAAACTCCCATCCTCTTCGAATTCTTTCGTTCCTTGTTTGGCTGATTGAAAGAAAAAAGGAGGGGATGTTTATAAAAAAAATGATAACTCGTCGGTGTCCAAGAAAGAATCGCTACGTAAAAATTTACGCGACACTGGCTTCTTTCCTCTGACGAAGGGGTTTTCCTTTTCATATTTTACCCCTTGATATACTTGGTAATTACAAAGTGCAATTTACCCGCGCGATCCTTTCGACTCGTTGACATTTAAAACGCGGAACGGAAATGCTCGCCTCGATGGAAGTTTTATCGGATCCGAAAGGAAAACGAGAGATTAAAAAATAACTGTGCTGCTTTCGCTTCAATATCTTTAATATCTTTAACTTTCGTTGTTCCATAAAATGAAATACAAAATTACAAGAGTCACGAAGGGATAAAATTCGATCGAATTCCATCGAGTTTCCAACCTTCTGGACGGTCGAGGAATAATTGGAAAAAATTTCTCGGTCATCCGACGAAAAAAAGTCAATCTCCGTGAAATGAGAAAAATTGGGAAGAAAGGAGAAGTAGGTTTCGAAAGTGAGTTTAGAAAACTCGCAAGAATTCGTTCTCCTGCGGCTGCGGCCTGGCATTCACACGTCGGTTATTACCGGTCGAATGAGAGCAGCGAATGAATAACACGTTAGAAATTTCAGCCGAATATCGAGCTGAAATTATTCGATCGTTGCAATCGTGACTTTCGCGTGGTTTCGAACAGATGGAATGCCTCGCTTAATTTTAAAACGTTGCCAGAATTTTTTGTTAATAATCGTTAAAGGGTAATTTATTTTATAACCGTTTGTTTTGAAAAATATCGAACGCGATATACTCAACGCTCTATAGACGAAAGGTCGTCCAGGACGAATTCGTGGAATGAATACGATTTTTTTCCACCGCGTGGATCCAGTTACAAAGGGAGGGGAGCGAAGAACAAGAGGCGCGACAGGCATTACGCCCGTACCCTAAGTGGCGGCCACGTGAATTCCACGAGTGGGTATATCCGAAGAGAGCCGAGACAATGGCCGAGTTCGGGACAAAAGCGACGGAAAACGCGCACGCGATACGCGCCTGTAAACGAGTTCACGTGCTTTCTCTCTACTTCTTTTCAAACATGGATCCACGTTCTCTCGAATATTCTCTCCGATTTCTTCTTCTCGTTCGAATAGAAGGTAGTAACGCTAGATGGAGAGAGAGAGAGAGAGAGAGAGAGAGAAAAAGAGAGAAATTTTCCGATTATTCATCATCGTGGTGATCATTACGTGGTCGATCAAGGACGATGGAGCAAGGGACAACGCTGGAAGAATATGCGATCCGGTAGACGGAACGACAAAAAGATAAAACGTATCGAGTGACACACGGTTGGTATGCGGGGAACGTGTACATATACGTGCAATCTATCTACGTGGCGGCTACTCAGCAATGGGAAACTCGACCAGCTCTCTCTCTCTCTTCGGTTAAAGCAGGAAAACGCTGATATCTAGGCTAGCCGGTGGCTGCTTTTATATATAAATACGGATTATACTGTTAAGAAGGGAACACACAACAATACTTGTGTCGATTCGATGGGGCACTTCCGGGGAACGACTCAATTCAGATCCATTTTCGTTTCGCGACTTTTTCTTTTTTTCAAAAATAATTAATCGGAAAAATTGTTTTTTTTTTAAATAAAAAATAAAAGTGGATCTGTTTTCCCTTTAAAAATAAATAAAGAATATACGTAAAAGTTTATCCGCATCGTACGAGAATTCGAAGAAAGCAATGGAGCTCGTTTCGGAGAATGGAGACGAGAAGGCTTTTATCCCAGCCAGGAATACGTTCCACGAAGTACCCCGTCGTCGTTCGAGAGAGATTGAAAAGCTGGGACAGACCTAATCGCGTTGCGCCTCTTCAGCACTCGAACTCTCTTCGGCCGTCTTCTTCTTCTAAGGAATTCGCTAAAACCGTCCCATCTTGCTCTACGATTCCGCTCCGACACTTCCGATCTAACAGCGTCTACTGAAAAGCTAGACGACTCCATTTCCCGATATATTTAAGAACAGATCGAGCAAGCTTCGCAAAAGCCAAATTGCAAGAATTCCACAGGGAGCCTGAACCGTACCTGGCGAAGGTGGAACGGCCAGGTAACGCCGCTTTAGCCAGTTAGAGGACAAGGCTTTTCCGATCGATTATGCAACTCTCTCCATGTTTAGGCGAGTACGAGAAATTCCGAGAAACCGAGACAGTCTTAAGTGTTAACCGAGTTTTGAAAACTCGTAGAATTATGGTCAATATTTCGTGGATACCGTTACTCGTTAACGACTGCTTTGGCAAACACCTCATACTCGTATTTCCACGGTAATGATCCACGCCACGAACGGGCATTATCGTGTAACAATCTTTTACGATGTTAGTTTTGGATAAAATGCACTTATTGAATTTGCGCATGTGTCCGGATGACGTTCGAAATGATCACGTGGACACGTGGAGTAGCAGGATGCCTCGTAGACATACCTTTTTAACTTCCGGCAAACGGTAACGTCTGTAGAAGGAGAGAGGGAAGGGGAAAGGAAGGATTCTCAGGAGACAAAAACGGCAAAGCCTCGGTTTTCCTCGAATCGATTTCCATACAAAGAACTCAACGATCCGTCGTAGGGAGCAAAATCGCTTCAAAAACGCTCACGGTCGTGAGCGCGTTTCGATAAAAGCGGCAACTCGCATCGCCGTAACGTCGAAATGAGAAAAAGCGCGTGTATATGTACGTGTGTATATATATATGTGTATATATGTATGTATGCGCACACGACGACGATAGCTGCGTAGAAGAGAGTGGAGAGAAAGACAACGCGCGAACGTCGGTAGTTGGAACACCTACCAGTGTAGCGTTTTCAGGATTCTCATGGCGTGGCTTCTCGACAATTCGTCCTTCGTTCAAACCTCATGGACGGACGAGCAGCTCTCGCAGCTAGCGCTCGGTGTGCGACCAACCAACGAACGAGCTAAGAATCTCAATCGCTCGCTATATCTTCATTTTCCTCTCCCTCTATCTCCTCTTCCCTCATCCCTCCACTCTCATCTCCTCTTCTTCTTCTTCTTCTTCCTCCTCTTCTTCTTCTTCTTCTTCTCCTACGCGATCCTTCCTCCTGTATCACCTCCCTGTTCCCGCCCTTTCGTACATTCCCACCGCCCTCGGATCGCACCACACGCACAAATATTCCACCTCGTAGATCGGTTTCCCCGCTCCCCTCCACATCGACCCACACCGACCACTTTTCCTCAGGTCACGCACCGTACTACACGTAATCGACGATCCGCGGAAAGATCTGCGACTCACACTCGTATATACGCGCGATCGAGGAACGAGAAGTTCGTCCACTTCGAAGGAATGGATGGGTCGCGTTCGTATCACTGAACGGACGCCGCCGCGTCCATGCTCCCTCTTGGGTTTAACGGGAGAAACGAGAGAACGGAAGAAGAAGAAACAGGCGAAGAAAGAGAGAAGGAGAGGAAAGAAGCGCGAGAAGCGCAGACTCGATGCTGGCCTGCCAAGGTGTA